AAAAAAAATGAACTGAGAACTTTGGAAAGCAAGAATTCAAAATGTAAAAGAAGATAAAGATATAAAGTAGAAGGATGAAGACAGTAAAGGAATGCTACTGCCTCTGGACAGTTGTGCAAATGAGAGCTTATTAATGCACTTCTGTTTTCTGAGAATATATTTATTATTGTTATTATTGAACAAGCTTTTTTAATATGACATATATTAACTTTGAAAAGATTAGTTCAAAGGAGAAAACAAATCCACCAAAACGAAAATGGAAAAAGAATAGAAGAAGGTGCGGGACAGTGAGAAGACCTGCTCCTGGCCAGGCAGAAGCAATCCTGTAAACACGGCTACACGGCAAAAGTAATCCACAGACTCAGTGTAACCCCATAAAGCTCCAATAACTTTCTTCATAGAACTAGAAAACACAATCTTCAGACAGACAGGCAGAGAAGACTCTGGATAGCCAAAACAATTCTAAATAGAACACAGCTGGAGAGATCAAATTACTTGACTTTAAACTATACTACACAGCCACTGTTACAAAGACAGCATATTACTATCATAAAAATAGGCCAAAGGAATATACAATCATACCAGAAATAATGCCACACAGCTAGGAACACCTAATTTTTAATAAAGGTGTCAAAGCATACACTAGAAAAAAATAAGTAAATGAATCTTGCAAATTGAGTATTTGCAGAAGAATGTAAAAGGATTCAAAGTGGATCAAAGACCTTAAAACATGAAATGGTGAAATTGTTAGGGAAAAAGATAATGAATGCACTTTGAGATACAGATATAGTCTAGCATGTTCAAAAGGAACAAACCCCGAAAGTATATACAGTAAATAGATCCAAGAATTTACAAATGGTTTTAAAATAAACTTTTTAAAATAATATTTATTTTTATTTTATGCACATTGGTGTTTTGCCTGCATGTATGTCTGTGTGAAGGTGTTGGATCCTTGGAATTACAGACAGTTGTGAGCTGCCATGTGGGTGCTGGGAATTGAACCTGGATCCTCTGGGACAGCAGCCAGTACTCTTAACTGCTGAGCCATCTCTCCAGCCCCTTAAATACTTTTTTTAAAATTGTATAACAAAAGAAACTATCCAAGGAAAGGATAAAATCTTTACCAGATACACTTCAGATTATACATATGAAGAACCATTAAAATTAAACAACACAACCCCAATCCAAACTGCCAATCAATAAATGTACTAATAAGGTAGACAAGACAATTTTCAAAAGAAGAAATATAAGTAACCAATAATATTTTAACAAATATTTGATATTCTTAGTCATCAGAATAATGCAAATTAGGATTCTATCTCACACCAGACTGAATGGTTACCATGAAGAGCAATGACAGCAAATATTTGCGAGGAGCTGACAGAGGAGGAACCCTTATTGAGTGCTGGTGGGTGTGCACACTGGTGCAATCATATGGAAATCAGTGTGGAGGCTCTGCAAGAAACTTAAAACAGGACAGGAAAATGGTTCCACTGACAAGGTGCTCATCAGCCAAGTTGGTTGCTCAGCACCCAAAAAACTGGCGTCAGGGATTGGAGAGATGGTTCTGCGGTTAAGAGCACTAGTCTCTCTTCAAAGGACCAGGGTTCAAGTCTCACATCATGGCACACAACCATCCAGGTGTGACTCTACAGTTCCAGGAACTGTGATACCCTCTTCTCTTCTGGCTTCTGTTGTCACCAGGCAAGCATGTGGTACACAGACATACATGAGGAAAAGTAGCCATGAACATTACAAAAAAAGGGTGGGGCTTGTCTGGTGGATGTGGTGGGGTGTGGTGTAAACCTGCTGGACCCTTGAAACACACTGGCCTTCAGTCTATTTAAAACTAGGAGCTCCAGATGCAGTGAGAGTCTCAGACACAAGGCAAGGAGGGCAACAGAAGAAGATATGCAACATTAACCTCTGGCCTCTGCATCCACCTACATGAAGACATACGTCCTACACGCACCACCAGCATCACCACTACTCTAAAAACAGAACTAGCATGTGACCCAGGTATACCACCCATAGGCATGTACCCAAAGTCCTCTCTCATCAATGTTTACTATTGTTCTATTCAAATTGCAAGAAAATGGAATCAACCTGTATGTCCATCAAATGCTGGATGTGTAATGAAATGTACATACAAGTACTAGAATTTTATTTGGTTTTAAAGAAAAATGAAATTGTGAAATCTGCAAGAAAATGGATAGAGTTGGAAAAGCTAAATGAGGTAGCTCAGGCTAAGAAAGATAACACTGCATGTTCCTTATTTGCAGACCCTAGTCATATGGCTGTATGTGTGTGTATATTTTCTGTGGAAATGTGTAAGCATAGAGGTCATAAAACTAGAAAAAGTGCATGGATAAAAGAGGATGGAAAGAAGACAATGGGGAGGGCAAGAGAACACATGGTAAGAGAGTGTAAACACGACACTGGGGCAGAGGGTATGAGTGCAGGGGAGGGAAAGGGAGACAGAAAAGGTGAAGGGGGAAGGCAGCCCAAACTAAACAGATAGAAAAGTGCCAAAAGGAAGCTTATTACTGAGTAAAAAAATCAAATGTTTTAAAAGCTAAAATGAAGCTAGGGGCTGGAGAGATGGCTCAACAGTTAGGAGCACCTGCTGCTCTTCCACAGAATCAGGGCTCAGTTTCCAGCACCCACGCCAGGCAAGCTCACAACTGTCTCTGACTGCAGCGGGGGTGGGGACAGGGTCCTGTGCCTCTGGTTTCCAGGGCACCTACACTCACAGGCACATACTCAATGCAGACACACAGTTACACCTCATTAAAAAACAGAAAAACAAATCTCTGAAAAGAACAGCCAAGATAAAACTAATACAAACAAAGACACAGACACTGTATGCCGTCGTACATTAAAATCTGTTTTAGGCAATGTGATTTTGTAGGACTAAAGAGGGCACAAGTTAAGCTTCAAATATTAACTGTCCCCAACTGGTGATGCTCTACTGAAGGCTAGGGAAGCTTTAGGAACCAGGCCTTAGGAAAAAGTGGATGGCGGGGGGCATGCCTTGGAAGGTTACTCCTGGTTCTGGGCAACCCCCTCACTCTCTGCTTCCTGTCTGCCATAAAGTGAAAAACCTCCTCTTCCATGCACTCCTGCTATCACACTATTCCATTCTGTTCAAATACAAATAAATGGATAAGAGCAACACAAGAAAATACCAAAAGAGCCAAGGAAAATCTTAGAGAAACATGAACTAAAACTGTTCGGGCTCAAGTACACAATAAGGACATTTGCTCAACCATGTTTGCAGCAGCTTTATTTGTAATAGCCAGAAGCTAGAAACAGCCCAGATGCCTCTCAACTGAAGAATGGATACAGAAATTGTGGTACATCTACACAATGGAATATACTCAGCAATGAAAAATAAGGAAATCATGAAATTTGCAGGTAAATGGTGGGAACTGGGAAGGATCATCCTGAGTGAGCTGTCCCAGAAGCAGAAAGACACATGCTATATACTCACTCATATAGACATATAATATAGGATAAACCTACTAAAATCTGTACACTAAAGAAACTAATCAAGAGAAAGGACCCTGACTAAAATGCTCAATCCCCATCCTGAAAGGCAAAGAGGATGGACATCAGAAGAAGAAGAAAACAGGAAACAACCTAGGAACCTGCCACAGAGGGCCTCTGAAAGCCTCTGCCATGCAGACTGTCAAAGCAGATGCTGAGACTTCGGGCCAACTGTTGGGCAGAGTACATGGAATCTTATGAAAGAAGTGGGATATAGTAAGATCTGGAGAGGACAGGAACTCCACAAAGAGAGCAACAGAACCAGAAAACTTGAACACAGGGGTCTTTCCAGAGACTCATACTCCAACCAAGTACCATGCATGGAGATAACCTAGAACCCCTGCACAGATGTACCCCATGGCAGTTTAGTGTCCAAGTGGGTTACATAGTAATGGGAAGAAGGACTGCCTCTGACATAATCTGATTGGCCTATTCTTTGATCACCTCCCCCTGAGGGGGGAGCATCCTTACCAGGCCACAGAAGATGACAATGCAGCCACTCCTGATGAGATCTGATAGACTAAGATCAGAAGGAAGGAGAGGGGGACCTCCCTTATCAGTGGACTTGGGGAGGGGCATGCGTGAAGAAGGGGAAGGAAAGGTGGGATTAGGAGGGGAGGAGAGAAGGGTTTATGGGGGGATACAAAATGAATAAACTGTAATTAATAAAAGTTAAAAAAAAGTCGCCTTTGAAAAAAACAAACAAACAACAACAACAAAAAAAAAAAAACAACTATTCTTCCCTGAAGTTGTTCTTGTCAGGCATCTGCTCGTGGTCCTAAAGAAGTCAGACATGCAGCAGGCATAGCCTCAGTGGTTAGCTCTCTCCACATACTCCATTTCTGACATCACTGAATTTTCTATGTGAACATGCAAAAGATAGCGGAAAGGAATCTCACAAAGTGAGTCTGACCCTAAGTGACTGCTTCTCCCCAGCATCCCTGCACACACAGGCTCAATTCTGATGGTGATGCCTCCTGAAGAGGGCCTGCTCTCAGAGGGTCAGGCTTGTTCCTGCAGGGCTGAGGCTGTAACTTAGACCAGACCACCTAAATTCACAAAGCTACTGTGGTACTGTGTGTCTGGGCATCTAGTAGGCTTTCTCCTTTTAAACATCCTACATGGTGAAAATTCAAATAAATGGATAACAGTTACACACACATACACACACACACACACACAAAAAAAAAAAAACAAAAAAAAAAAAAACAAATGAATGCAATTTGCCACAACTCTTAAATGTGTGCCTTTGCCTTCAGCACTTTTGGGTGAAGAGTGCACAGATGCAACTACTGCAAGCAAGGAGCCACAGCTGCATTCTTAGCTCCGCCTACTCTTCCATGCTCAGTGTCAGAACTAAACTTTATCTGGAATTAATGTTAATAAATAATAATCCCTCTCTTCATATACCCACTCTCTTTCTGGCCAACAAATGGAAACACAAGACTTACATGGCACCGTGGTTCCAAATCTAGCAGGATTCAGTACTATGAACCTGTTTTTCAAGCTTCTTCTGCCCACACCTTGAGCTCCTATCAACACTAATGTTTTTCGCTGGAAGGGCGGCATTTTTGCTACTTCCTCATAGATCTGAATTTCATGACGATCAAACTCTACATGTGAAAGTAAAGGGACAACATTATGTTCAGTTATGCTTTATATACTCAGAAGCACTCGCTGGTATTCAAATGCTAGTGGTGCTGTCTTGCTAGTTAACTATCACTGGGACTAAGCACAGCGGACACAGGCTTGTCTTCACAAACTTGGCAGGGTAGAAAAAATATTTTAAATCTTGACTTAAATGTTTATCCCCACTTATTTGCCCTGAGACATTCATTTAGTGTCCTCCGATGTTCTTAGGCAACCCCTGTAAAAGGGTCATTTGACCCACAAAGGGGTGTGGCCCACAGGTTGAGGACCACTGCATTAAAGGCTTCTTCTTAGGAAGTTATCAGCAGAAATAGTGACCTTAACATCAATCAAACTACAGTTTATGTGATTTACACTAAATGGTACATGCAAAGCATAGTGCACAGGACGTCTGCTTGGCTGCTGCACTTGTACAGGCAGAGTTCGCCACCTCCAGTGACGGCACACTCATGTCTAAGTACCAAAATTCTGAAATGCATCCATAAAACAAAACACTCGATACAAAAGCATTTGCAGTAGACTACAGCCTCAAATTATTAACTAAGTCAATGAAAAAGTTACAAGTCTTGCTAAAAAATTGAGAGATATGTTTAATGAATAATAAAGCCAAAGTGATCCTGAAATACATCACCTATAACCACTGCTTGACTCTATCTGTAGGACAACACTTCGCCCTTACATTATTGCCTCAACAATTCCTTCATAATAAAATAAACCAACCCTGCGAGGAAAACCACCACCTCTCCTTCCTGTATGATTTGCTTTATATACTCTGTTCGTTTTTACTAGTGCATCTTTGAAATCTTTGAAATCAAGAAAAATAAATCTGATAGTTTCCATATTTAGCTTCCTTAAAATTTTTTTTTTAATTATACTGGGTCACATAAGGCCATTTTTATGCAGACACATATTGCACTTTGAGCACATTTTTCCTGTACCCTGCCACCCTTCCCTTATTCTTTCTTCCCTACATAATTTCTCTCTCCTTTAATGTCAACTGTATATATATGATTTTATGTATCTATGTAAAATCTAGGGTCCACAAGTGGAGAAAAAAAAGTTTGTGATCCTAAGACTAATTTAGTTTGTTAAACATGATTATCTCCGGTTGCATCTATATTTTTTCCAAAAACAAACAAAAAACAAAAATAAAAACAAACAAACAAAAAAACCCAAACCTATTTCATTCATTTTCTTTTTTCCCGTTGCTGGTCACTTAGACTAATTCCAGAACTTAGCTCTTGTGAACCATGGTGCAGTTAACAATGACACGTTGTATTTCTGTGGTACGTTAAACTGTGGGGGCAGCGGTGTAACGTGGGTAATTCTAGTCTACTCGTGCACTGATTTCTACAGTGGCTGGACCAGTTTACTTCAAAGGTTCCTTTTTGTCCATATATTTGTGGAATGTTATTTTTTTAAATGGATGCCGTTCTGTATGGGATGAGATAGACTCTCTATGTAGCTTTCTTTAATCTGCATTTCTCTCCTGGCTAGTGAGGTTGAAGTTTCTTGGTTTAAATCTGTAATACACCTAAATGGTCTGAGGGTGATTTATTTCATCATTTTCCTTTTGAGTTCTGGGGGTTGAACCATGACCTTGTATATGCTAGGCAATGGCTACATCCCTAGACCTTTGATTTGACGATTTTTTAAAGCTTCCCCCCGGCCTCAGCTTTGGGGGCATAAATGACAAATAAAAATTATATATTCTTAAAGTATACATCTTGATGATTTGATGTATTTAAATGTAAAACGAGCTTATAATGAACTAATAAATTAATCTATTACTTTTCATAATTACTATTATGTTTTCTTTAAAAAAAATGTTCCTTTCTTTAAGATGAAAGATTTAGGGATAGGCAGAAGAATTTAGTTTGAGGTCAGCCTGAGTTACTAACGAAAGTATAGGGTAATAGGATAATTAAGTGTTTGAGGCAGCCTGTACTAACTAGTGAATCCCAGGCCAACCTAAACATATAGACAGATTCCCCCCCCCCCACCCCAAGAAAAAGACAAGAAAGAAAGAAAAAGAAAAGAAAGTAAGTCTGAAAGATTTGAGGAAGACTATTAGAAGGCTCCCACTAGACTAGTTATCCGGCCTAGTACCATTTTCCCAAAATACATCTGACAATGTTATGACAGCATATAGCTCTCCTTCATCCTAATGCTAACACCTTCAAAAAGGCTCTCTGCCCCTTAGAAATGGCACACATGTTTCTGTGTCAGACTCTCCTAAATAAGTACTGTCAAGTACATTCCTCCTGCATTAGTACAAGCACAAATCCTAACCACTTCATCCTGCTGCAAATTATAGTCACAAATTGGGACTTAACCAATTTCTTTATAATACCATTTATCATGTGTTCACATTCCAGCCCCAGTAACTGACACTAATAGGAATTACATTCATTTTAAATTACATATTCAGAGATTAAAACGTTAACTAATGACAAAGCTATTTATTTAGATCTTTCAAAGGGATTTTGAACGCACCTGCATTCCTGGTTGTGAGGTACATCATCTTTTTCTTTTTTTTGTTGCTTATAGTTCCACAAAACGGTCCTGGAAGATGACAAGACCAGTGTAATTTAGATAATACCCCAAGGTACAACCTTAAGTTGCCTAGTCAAGGCAGGAGAATTACCTTCCTGAGGGAATGGGTCAATTTGTCATGAATTTTGGTACTCTACCAGTAGGTGGCAGAAAAGAATAAAACATTACTTCAGAGAGGAAAATTCTGATGTGCAGGAAAAATGAATTCTCCATGTATTTGAAATAAATTTATTTACATATTCAGAAAAAAGGAAGCAAAGGAAGGTGAGCCCATCCCTCCCTGCCTGTTACTTGCATGAAGCTCTTCACCTGAATTGTCCCAGTCTCTGCGAACAAATGCCTTTCTCTTCTCTTCCAGGAACTGGCTTGGAATCAGACCAGCACTTCCTCCCTCTTTCACATGGCTAGCCTAGAATCAAATTAATATCTCAGTGACCAAAATTTTAGTAAGTAGGACAAGTGCTGGTCAGTTAAAGTTAGTTTGCTATGGAAGACAACCTTTCAACCCATGGAACTGTGCTAAACGCGTCTAGACACCACCATACTAAGGAATTCCCATGTATGTCAACTGGTAATGACATTTTAAAACTCCCATTAACAACAATGTACAGGCTCCTCAAATAGTTCAATGTGTGTGTGACAAAAATTAAAGAAAAGAAAGAATTTTACACAATGAAGTGTTAAGGAACATTTTATCTGGCATTCTTTATAAGCCATTTCTACCGACCTCAATCATAGAATGTTATTTAATTCTCAATACTGGGAATACAGAGCATAAATTTTAATTCATGCTAAGACTCTGAATATTCCAATGTAGTATGTTTAAAATATGTAAAATTTCATCTAATATAAGAAATAACAACCTTAAAATCAAAGTTAGTGCCTGTGCACACGTGCACACGAGGGTAGGTACCCAGAGGCCAGAAGAGGAAGATGGAGCTCCTGGAGCTGGGGTTCCAGGAGGCTACGAGCAGCCCAACAAGGGTGCTGGGAACCTGGGTCCTCCACAAGAGTGTCAAGGGTTCTTATAAGCTAGGCCATCTTTCAAGGCCCAGAACAAGTGTTATTTTTAAATGGCAATGATTTATTTCACAGGGTTAGTGTGTTTCTCCTTATAACTAGAACAGAAAGTCTGTTTACCAGTTTTCAGTAATCCTGAATATTGGAATTAAAGTAAGACTACCAAAATGAAAGAAGAGACTCAAATGATGGTGAGATGATTAGAAAACTAAACAAGAGCATTCACAGAAAATAAAACAGTAAGCCTGGGAGATCTATGCTTAGGCATAGGAGTGATCAGACATTTTTAAAGCTTCTATTTCAGTGAAGATCTCTTAAAATCATGAACTGTTTCCTGAACTCATCTCAAAGTTTTCTCACCACAGTGCACTTATTGATAAAAATGTCTTCATTTTCATGCCGGGCATACTGTTCCGAGGCTGTTCTTATCCTGTAAATCATTTCTCTGTAGAAGTTATTTAATTCATCACTGTTAAAACCTGTTACCACTAAATGCTAAGTTATGTTTGGTATTGGGTCCCGGAGCCTTTCTTCTTTCACCCTGTTCTCAAATGAGGCCATAATCAGCTCCGGAGGTTGAAAAGATTCTAGGCTTTTTATCATTTTCTTCAGTTTTGAATAGTGTGTCAGCTGATCTAAGCAATCAAAAAACAAATTAAGAAGCACTGGCAAACAATGACTCCAAGGTTCTTCTTGTCCTACAACATATTTGAAGGCAACTGCCCATGTGAAAAAACTGCTTCAGCTAATCCAGACCTGGTGACAGTGCCTCAGGCAGGGCATGGCTGCTTTTATAAGCAGCTACTCACAGGTTCTCTCTCATTTGGTTGTCTGTCCACAAAGCTAGCAGACATAAGGCAGGAGCTGTTCATGCAGGAAAATCATGGGAACGAACGCTTCCTGCACTTTTACATACTGGCCAGATCCAAGATGAAAATAGAGAAGCAGTTGTGGGTTTTCTGAGACTCATACTAACCTGCCACCAGTTTGGGTCTTCTCTGTTTACAATCTGAAGAATTTCTCCTTTGGAAAACTTCAGTCCTGCTTCTTTGCAGGGTATCAGGTTATCATTGAAGGGATTATAATCAAAATGACACTTGACAAATACCTAAAAACACAGCACAGTGAAAAAGACTGTATGTATATCATTAAGCATTTGGGTGTTGAAACCAAATCACTGATATTTAATTGTAATTGACAATTACAATTCAGATGAAAAACTTACTCTCCTAAATAAAAACCAACTTATTAGAATACTCATATAATGATTTGGTGTTACAGAAAATAAACATTTATGCTACATTAAAATTTTGTTCATTTATGAAACTCCTGTTTCTTTTTGTCGGATGTGGAGTTTTAAACTCAGGGCTTTGATGCCAGTGAGTGCTATCTTATATACCTCTGTTAACACCTACTCTTAAGTCAGCAAGTATGTTACAATCACTCTACCCTTCTCCCCTCTACAATCTTTTCATTTGATTCTCAACAAATACGCCATACTTTTTAATTTAAGTAAATGTCATTTTGCAGTTAAAATCCTGAAACTTTTATGAAGTTTGAGGCATACATTTCCAATATATCTGGACTGACACTGTACATACACCTTGAAAGCAAAATTAAACAACAAAGTTCATCTTGAAGTGAGACCTGAGATATATTTGGTAATCTTGTAACATTAAGAACTCAACTTTACCTCTAGTATTATATTGTAATCAGACAGTTACACTGGCTAAAACTAGTAAGGAAAATAGTTTCTTGATCATCTTAATGTGATTTATATGTTTACATTTAAATAACTATTAAGTTACTTATAAGACAAAATACTAGAAAGGTCTTAACTATTTCCCAGTCTAATTTCAAACACACATTCCTCTTAATTGGTTTACTAATAAAAGTATGGTAGTCACACGGTTACTCAAAATCTCCAATGCTGGCAACATACTGCTTATTTACTTTAATTTGATTCTAATTAATCATTTCTAATATTTGATGGCAAGTTTAGATGAACTATTTTCTTAAAATAGACATGCTTCATACATATTTATAGAAATTCAAATTTTATCTTCTACTGAAAAGCCTTAGCATTAATCAGCAGATAAACTTTAATAAGCAGAAAACCATGTAATTAGTCAAAATAACAATGTTATTTTTCTATGTGTATCATACCTCTACCACTAGAAACAAATAAAAATTCCAAACAGTACAAGTACATGCGCTGTATTATTAGTACGCTTAAAAAAACACCCAATGTAAAAGATTCAGAGGAAGATATTTTTAAACACTGGGTGCATGTGATTTTGATAGAAATCTCTAGCCCATTTGCAACAACCTTGCAAAGCCTGCGAATCACTGCTTAATCTAAGCAGGAAGCCACTCTTGCTGACACATAATTTTAGAAGTATCTACAAAGCAAGCGTGCATACAATATCACCCTGCTCAGCTGCAGCAGGTGACTAACTTGAGCTTGCATGCAGCTCCAGACTCTGACAATAAGCAACTCAAGATGAGAAAGTTTAATCAAGGTAAATTTAGTTGACTGCTAAGACAGAACAACAGGAATGCCAGAGAATGTTTTCACATGATACCATACCTGACGGACGTGGGCAGGATGCCTCTCCATATTGATGTAATTCTAAAAACATATTTTTCAATTGCATAAATAAAGCCAGACTTTTAGCTTGTAACTGAACAAAATATGAGTAAACTACTGGCTCATTTTATTACTTCAGTCATTAGTAAAGCAACTTCCTCCCTAATTAACTGTTCATAGATTATAATTCCTGTAAATTATAAATGACACAAGCAAAAAGTCTCAGGGATTTGATATGAGGCAGTGAAGAGACTGTGGGAGTAGTTATAAAACTAGCAGTATATTCCTTACTTCTGGAAAAAGGCCCACTGAACGAAAAGCTTCACGTCACCTAAGCAAGGGTGTTTACCATCCTTGGTTGTGAGAGAATACTTTGCAAAGTTACAAGTGTCTTCCAATTTTCAAAAATTAGTTCTCCTGTTCAGAGATACCAACATCCAATTCAGATGTAAAAGGGTTAATAAAAGGAGCAATTCTTTGGCTTATTCAACTACTTTTGGAACATTACCCTCATGCTCAAAAGCTCAGATTAATCTGGTTTCACTTTGGTAAAATTTGTCTGAAAAATCAGTTATCCTAGCTTTTGATCTAGGAGCTTAATAAAATCTTTAAAATCATTAAATAATTGACCTACTTATTTTATGAACTGTACTAATAGTCTATGAATGTTAATGATCAATCTTAAATTACTAAACAATTAACAAAATATATTTTCAACATTAAAGGAAAAACTGAACGATCAACAATTTAAAATAGATGACAGAGAAAGGAAAGTACAAGTGACTTTTAAGCATAAATGTCCAAACCATTCCGAGTAGAAATGAAAATTAAAACTACTAGGATAGCTCCTTCCTATTAACCAGCAGAAACTCAAATATCTGACATTCTGCAGACAGGACTAGGGGCTAATAGGGATTTTCCTAACACGCTTGTGGAAGAATGCCCCAACCTCTTGGGAGGACACTTTGGCAGTAATTACCAATATCACAAACACATAAACCATTTGACCTAGTAATCCTCTTCTGAGAATGGATTCAGAAGTTACATTACTCGGATTCATGTGAAGTGACTTAGCTACAACACTAGTAACTACTGAATCAGTCGTTACAGCAGATTAGGATGCAGTCTGTTTAGCAATGCTGAGTTGCTTAAACAAGACCTGCATAATGACAGCATACCAGTCCATGGGCCAATGACAAGAGGGGAGGATTTCAAGGTCCCACCCTCATACAAAAAAGCTACAGACAGTCAACAGCTGCTGAGAGAGAGACCATTCACCTCCAGGACCAAGAGCTCCGTGACGTGTTACTAAACCCCAAATGGTCAGCTTTAAACATATGTATACAAAAGCTATGGGCTCAGTAAGTAGTGTATGTATGCCTCCAGATTATCCTAGCCATTCATCTCATCAAGATGACCAAAAAACCTTGCTGAAATTTTGACTGGCAGACCTCTGAGTCTGTAAGTCAATGTGGAGAAAATGGACATTTCCATAATATTCTATTTATTTAGAACATCTCCATAATTCTTTTGTGTGGAGGACTTGAACTATTTTGTTAATTTATTGTCAGGCATTAAAGTGTCGTTACTGTAAATGATGTCTTAGTTATATTTTTAGCTGCTTGCTATGAAAAACAAAAACAAACCCCCAAATTATAGTACACTAATCTGAGTAAGTAGTCTATTATTTCTAGATTTGTAGTTTCTTGGGGGGTGGGTTCTAACCATAAAAATATTAATTGTAAATTTATAGTTTTATTTCTTCCTCCACAGCCCCTTTATCTGTATTTTTGTCACACTGTGCTTACGAAACCCTCAAGAATACTGACAGGAGGCAATTCTAGTAACTTTTCTCTCCTTCCATTTTTTTTTTTTTTAAACTTCAATGAGTCAAAATCTTTATTTTTATTTTAGACTTTATTTTTTTGCTTCTTTGGATTAGTCAATAACAAAATAACCGAGTATAAGTAATAATTAACTAAAAGTTTCAGCGTTCAGGAAACTTGAAATTTAAAATATTAAGGATTTATGTTCATTCTATCCCAAATGAAAGTCTTTAAAGCAATCAAATCATTGCCACTTTATTCTTGAAGTTGAGTCAGTTCAGTTTGCTTCACTGTTTGAAGCCTCATCAAAATTCTGAACAAGCCCATCAACCCCCCTCCTCCAACAACAAGTTGTGCTTTTCCATCACATCTGCCAGGGCTCTGTAGTTTGTCAGTGCCAAGCTGGGTTAAGATCCTGGGTGGCATTTCTGTCAGCTGCTCTGTCCCACAGTGGCTGGGAAGGGGGAAGTGTGCATGCTGCCAGATATGTCTGAATGCTAGGATGATTTGCAAACATACTGAAGTTCAGCATCAGATACTGCTTACTCCTAACATCTTCAAGGAAAACGAAAACTTTAGCATTTGCTATAACAATCTTTTGAGGACATTTCTTTCACCAATGCACAACTGTATATGAATTCTTGTAATAGAAGTTTTGGTTTCTTTGTGCACTCAGTTATGTTATGTACATATGTTTTTGTTTTAATCCCAAGTGTGGATTTTAGTTGGGCTATGGTTTATCCACAGCTGTTAATTGTCACGTGCAGGGCGTGATCTTTGCCAGATGGTAACAGCCTTCCAGGTGTAGCACAGAGTGGTCTAGGGCTCTGACAGTATAAACATGAGAGCCAAAAAAAGAGAAGGGATGGAGTGTGGTGTTGGTGTGTGGCATGTAGCAGATTGAAGAGACCAGAGAGATGGATGGTATGGCGGTTTGGAGAAGAAAGATGGAGAGAAATGTTTCACAGCACAGCAGTTTGAAGAAGACTGCTGGCTTCATTTGCTGTTGATGGAGATTGGTATACAGCCCTAAAGAACCCCTCAACCCTAAACAGCCAGGAGAAGTAAAGGTGCCCTCTCTCCCCACTAACCTTCTCTCTCCTGAGTAGGGTTGGGAGGTTGGAAGAGAAGTTGAGGCCTAAACACTGCAAATAGAGTTTTTAAAATGAGTGCTACATATGCTCAGTTACATATATGGATTTTCATGTAAGAAACTATACTAGCATGCTTTTAATAAATTCAGCTTGGACAAAATTTATTAATATTTTCCTTTTATAGAAAATTAACTTTGATTTTCTATTGTTCTGTTGACTGAAATAAAGTTATAGCTTATTTTCCTATAATACTCTTGGTGTCCTGGTCATGCTGATCATAAAGATTAGGTAAAGGAGTATTGCTATCTGTTTGCTATACTTGTTACGATCTACATATATTCTCCTTAAAATCTCATGTGTTGAATGAACCCTTAGACCCCAGATGGCAGACCCAATCACTGAGAGATGGGTAGACTATAGCAGTACTAACTTCATTAATGGGTCAAAGCCACTTAGGAATTCATATTAGATTGGAATATGAATTCAATTAGAAGTGAGGCCTGCTTGGAGGTAATAGGTCACTGGGAAGCATGTTTGAAGGAATACACTTTGCCCTGGCCCCTTCCTATTTTTCTCTGTTTTCAGCCCTGCTGTGGTGAGCAACTCTGCCCTGCTATGCCTTTCCACAATTATGTTCTGCAACGGCCCAGAAATGTAGTTAAGTATCCTTAGACTGAACTTTCTAAAGCCATAAGCCAAAATGCACAGCTCCCCAAACCATTTATCATAAGGAGAAAAACTAACATAGGCTTTATAAGTAGCATTATTTATACCTTCCAGAAGCCTAACTCATATATATGAACTTCAGAACTAGGTATAACTTTTAGCTTACCCTGGTTCTGGTTCTGTAAAATATACATCACATGTTTCATAGAAAAGTTCAGACTGCAAGCCAGCACCTCAAGTGTTTGACAAAGAGAATCTACTGTCATACTTTGAACCCCCCCAACCCCCAGGAAGGAGAGCGTCTGGTTTCCCTCTATTCTCACAGCAATATACAGAGCTACAATAGGCTCCAAGCATAGGAATCCCCACTTCTACATGGGAGATGCATTCCAAGATGTGCAATGGATGCCTACACGTAACAAAGTACTGAGCTTTATAACCTACTATTAACTATGCACTTAACACACACTGTGATCATAATTTACTGCTGCAGGCCAGACAATCAGCAAGCATATTCCTTTTTCTTCACAATTTCATGAACAGAAGAAAAAGGAATATGCTTGCTGCTACCATGTATTTTAGCAACTTCAGCATAGGGGTCTTTTTCTTTTCCTGCTAGATTGAGTTGTTACAATTACACTTATAGGAAGAACCCCTAACACGTGACTCCAAGCTAGTAGATCTGAATTACCAGTCCTTATGCTTTAAGGTTGTGATGCACAGCAGGATTTATTGAATACAAACACTGGCGCACAAGCATAGGTGTTCTGCTAACTGAGGGGGCTACTGGTGAGTGGGCCCTATATCCAATACTCTCAACAAAGGGATGACTCAGGTTCTGGGTGCAACTAAAGCATGAAGAACACAAAATATTGCACACTTTAAAGTTTGAGTCATTTCAGTAATTTTCTACTTAGTATTTTTAGACTTTCCTTGACAATGGGTAACTGAGACTACAGAGAGCAACATACTAGCTGGGAGCAAGTGGGGGTGGGAGCTACTGCACTAGATGATAGAGCTCCTAAGTGAAAAAGTTAGTTGTAAGGGCAAATATTACCCACAGCATCTCTTAGATGCCCAAGGGTTGTCCAGAACAGTCTTGCTTTATGCTTACTGTTTCAACATAATCATTTTTGTTCATTTAAAAAAAAAATCCCAATTTGAGTATAGTGGGAGGCTTCCTTGTTATGGTGCCTCTTCTTTTTCATAGTGGAATGTACCAGAGTATTGCACAGGCTCCTATGACCACTTCTCCCCACTTCATACTTATATCTTCTTCCCTAGTTCTAAAGGGTAGGTAAAACCCATAAATTATAGAATGGCAAAAATTTATGTTTAAACCAAAGCTAAATATCCATACACTGAAGTTAGCTATTCAGTGTATTCACCAAAAACAAATTTACAAAGGAAACAATGTTTTGCTTTAAAGTCCATTATACATACAGTATGATTATCACCAGCTAGACAGGATAAGAGTCGCCATATAAACACACTTGTGGGAGTATCTATCAAGATGTTTCTAGTTTATCTCCATCAATGCTCTTTGGTTGGAGTATCAGTCTCAGAAAAGACCCCTGGGCCCAGATTTTTTGGTTCTGTTGCTATCTTGCTATCCTTGTGGAGCTCCTGTCCTCTCTAGGTCTTATTATTTCCTACTTCTTTCATGAAATTCCCTGCACTCTGCCCAAAGGTTGGCCGTAAGTTTCAGCATCTGCTTTGATACCCTGTAGGGTAGAACCTTTCAGAGGCCCTCTATGGCAGGCTCCTGTACTGTTCCCTGTTTTCTCCTTCTTCTGATGTTCATCCTCTTTGCCTTGGTTTATGGGGGTTTGAGCATTTAGCCAGAGGCCTCCTTCTTGATTAGTTTCTTTAGGTATACAGATTTTAGTAGGTGTATCCTATATTATATGTCTAATATCCATTTATGAGTGAGTATATACCGTGTGTCTTTTTGCTTCTGGGATACCTCACTCAGGATGATCTTTTCTAGTTCTCACCATTTACCTGCAAATTTCATGATTTCCTTGTTTTTTTATTGCTGAGTAATATTCCACTGATACTCCAACCAAAGACCATTGATGGAGATAAACTAGAACCCCTGCACAGATGTTGCCCATGGCAATTCAGTGTCCAAGTGGGTTCCATATAATGGGAAGACTGCGTCTGACATGAACTGATAGGCCTGCTCTTTGATCACCTCCCCCTGAGGGGGAAGCAGCCTTACCAGGCCACAGATGACAATGCAGCCACTCCTGATAAGATCTGATAGACTAAGAGCAGAAGGAAGGAGAGGGGGACCTCCCCTATCAGTGGACTTGGGGAGAGGCATGTGTGGAGAAAGGGGAGGGCGAGTGGGACTGGGAGGGTAGAGCCACAAGGGGATACAAAGTGAATAAAGTGTAATTAATTAAAATTAAAATAAAAAATGGAAAGAAAAAAAAGATGTTTCTAGAAAGATTTAGGTAAGTAGAGAAGACGTTCAATAAATGTGAGTGGCATTATCCCACTGGTTGGGGTCCTGGACCAAATAAATGAGAAAAGAAAGAAGGGGAATGGAGTGGAGGGGAGGGGGGAGAGGAGAGGAGAGTGACCTAAGCACCAGCATTCAACTCTATCTTCTTCCTGACTGTGGACACACTGCGATCAGCTGCCCTAACCTCCTGTTGCCATGATCTTCCCAACATCATGAACTGTTCTGTCAAACTGTGAGCCAAAATAACCCCATTCTTCCTTCAGTTCCTTTCATCAGGCATTCTGTTACAGAATGAGTAAGTGACTTAATTATAAGACTTCTGGTTGAGACCACAGAGGAAAATATTATCTTCCCATTATAATTAAAAGGCTAAATTAAAAACAAACAAACAAAATCTTATTCTTCTAATACAAGCAGGTACAAATAGGTCTCATTTTGTCACAAATGGAAATACACAAATGAGAGAATTGGTAGCCTGTGAAGAACAGGGATAGTCAAAGTTGTAATGTTTTTTCTTTCATGATTGTTTTCTTTGTAAAGTAAGGTATTATGGTTAGTTTTAACTGTCAACTTGACGTACTTAGAATCAACCGGAAAAAAAAAAAAAGAGTATCAATGAGAGACTGCCTATAATGGGTGGCTTGTAGGCATGCTTGTGGGGGCCTGTTGAAATACCCAGCCTACTGCGGGTGGCCACATCCCCAGGCAGAAGGTCCTGCTCCGTGTAGAAATGAAGAAATTAAGCTGAGCAGAAGCAAGAATGCAGGCCAGCATGTATTAATTAATCTCTGCTCTTGACTATAGATATGATGGGACTAGCTGTTTGAAAGCTCCTGCTTTGACTTCCCTACAATAATGGAGTTGTAAGCTGAAATCACCCCTCTTTTCCACTAATTTTCTTTTTGTTGGGTGGTTTATCACAGCAACAGGAATGAAACTAAAGCCTATCTACCTTTATTTCAAACAAAGGTCATTATTTTTAGGTCTAATTTACATGCAAAAAAATCACGAGTAAATAGTATATCCTATCTTCTAAAGAACAGCTCAAAACCAGAATACTACCTATCTCCATCTCTTGTTTTCTGGGGGGATCTCACTATGTATCAGGCTAAGCTCTAAAATTTATCGTGTCCTTTTGTTTCATCCTCCCACGTACTAGGATTACATCATGACCATTAAAAGAGCAACCATTACAGGCGATCTAAATAATCATCAGCACATTCTCCTGATCATTTATTCATTTTACCTAAAACACACATGAAATGTGTGAAAACCAAGTGTCTAAGATTATCTTTAATCTATTTGACATTGTTTGTAATTTAGCACATCACAAGAACATTAACCTGGAGGTAATCTACACTACTGTCTCAAAGGTCCTAATGTTTGAAAAACAAGAGATGTCGAAATGTTTTCAACAATAATTTTTTTAAAAATAACTTACTTAATTTTATGTTATGTATATTAGTGTGAAGATGTCAGATCTCTTGGAATTGGTGTTAGAGACAGTTATGAGGTACCATGTGAGTGCTGGGAATTGAACCCAGGTCCTCTGGAAGAGCAGGCAGTGCTCTTAACCACTGAGCCATCTCTCTAGACTCCAATGATAGTTTTAAGAAAAGGCTTTATGACTATTCTGATACCTACCTGTATCCAAATAACAAGGCTCATAATGTTCACAAATAAATGTCTTATTATTTTCTTTATAACACTAAGATAACATTATATAAAAATTCAAAACTTTACAAAGACAAACTGCAAAACAGTAACCATTAAACATCTACCTAACAGAGTGATTTAAAAAAAAAATCAAAGTATTCTTAATATCATTTGAAAATTATCACTAACCTGTTGAGGAGTAATAGTATCTCTATAACTTGGTAAAATTTTCAGGGTGACACTTCCACTAATATTTTTTAGTAATTCTTGTAATTCCTTTGGATTGTTTCCAACTTCATGGCCATTAACTTCCTTAATAATGTCTCCCACGTGAAGTAGACCTTGTCGATCTATCATTCCTCCATGAAGGATTCGGGCAATTACCAGATCATTATTTTCAACCCTAAATGTTACACCCTATAGAAAAATTTAAAAATAATAATTATTTTATCCCATTAAGAAAAATATGTAAACATCCATGAATACAAATAAAATGATTCTGAAACCAGGTTGGTGAATTCTGTTTCCATTTCTTTCCTGTCCAATCCCAATAAAGTAAGGAACATCAGAAGCACACCCATACAACGGGGTTAACCTTTACAATCTAGCTGTACTCCACAAAGAGGTTAAAGAAGGCAGCAGAATGCTGACTTGTCAGGTTTGCCACAACTCTGTTTTTAGAAACCACAAATAAAAAATGTAAGGGGAAGTAGTTAACTTCACTATTACAGAGCACCACTGCACTTTGAATTTTAATAACAACTTTCTTCCCTGTTTTGGTCTCATCATTAGTAAGCAAACAGACAATTTCTGAAAGGCTGGAAAGGCCAGGAAGAACTAAAAGTGTTCTCCTGTTCCCTAGTAGCGTATTTATAGCTTCTCAGTCAGTTTAAGGTTTCATTTTGACTACATTTCATAGGCTACATGACTGACAGATCATCTGCTATGTATTTATACAAAGGCTAAAATGACTGATAAAATAAGCACGAGCAGTTTCCACAAGTATATCAAGACAGAAACTGAGCAGCACTACATTTCAGATTTAAGAAAGCGGCGATTCATTTACTTACCAATGGTTCTCCAGCTTTTTTGTGAATACCAAGAATACGGATGGCATCTACTGGCAAAAACTGATTATTGAGAGAATTATTCATTTCTGGGCTTGAGGGAGGTGAATCATAACACTTTGATGCCACAATATCATGGGCCTCCAGGAGCGACTGTAAAGAGTCAAAACAGCCTGTGGTTATTAGCTACTGATGGAACAAGCTGCTAAAAATAATTTATTAGTTCATTAACACCGCAGAGTAGTAAAAGTTTCTAAAGACACATTCTTAAATTCCCAACATGCATTATGTTAAATACATATAATCTTTTTTTAAAACTAAAACTAGATCATTTTATTATCATCAAACAATATCATATTCAGGTTTTCAGATTTGAAGAGACTGGTAGAATTTAGTCCCATGTTTTTAAAGTGTCCTGTTCACTGGAAAGCAAACCCCGGTTTTCAAGCTGGGTGGAGGGACGTGATAAATTTCCTATCAACAATGTGGGCACCTCTTCCATCTTTACCACGAACCCCCATCCACAAGATACAAAAAAACCTGAGTGACAGACTCTAATTTTTACTATGTTGATATATTAGTAATATGAAATACTTTTGACATATATAAAAGGTATGCTAAAAAGATATCTAAAAGATTATAAATATCAGCAACTTCTACCACTAGTAGGAAATTGCATATTACCAATAAAATTTTAGTCTATAAAAGATACATTTTGAAGGAAAAAGAATCAGAAATGGTTCTGGATATAATGTCAATTTTGCTTTCTATGTTTACTATCTAAAAACTATTATGGATGATTCTTGAGGTAGTTGTCCAGGAATTTCATTTTTATAGTAAATAATTTAAAAAATCCTGATCGTAAAGGATTTAAGTTTTAATTCAATACCTGCCATAACACTAAGTTGAAAAGTTTCCGAGTATGCACAATACAGGTTCAAACATGACAATTCAAAATAGGAGAGGAAGCAAGTATCAACACATTCAAGACAGAAACAATCTGGGTTTCAGTTTAATTGGCAAGTCCTGATAATTTCATAAAATCATTTGCAAGGTACTGAAAAACAGATGTAAAACCAGGGTTAGGAAGATGGCTCAGTCAGTAAAGTGCTTGTCCCCACGCGATAAGTGCTATGTGTGCAGATTCCTCATACACATATAAAAAGATGGTGCACATCTGCAGTCCTAGCTCTGTGAAGTGGGCCTTGCTGGCCAACTGGTGAGCTCCACGCCCAGTGATAAACAAAGGGAGGGAGGGAGGGAGGGAGGAGGGACACTGCACACAGCATCTTGATCTCTTCAAGTCAACACCACATTCAAGAGGGCAGTGGGAATCCCACAGATGCAGATTACAAATTCGTGCGTAAAATATTCTGGCATCAAGATTTCCCACTGCCTTCAAGATAAAATTCAAATACTTTATATTGCTTTATATGAACTCAATCATGTAACCCCTCAAAGTGGTCTTTATAAAGCAAAGCAGTGTTAATCTAATTTTGAGGGCAAAAGTTGCAAGGAAAATAGTGACTCTTCTTCTATGATAGCAGATCTTTTTCTACTAAAATGTAATGGCTCTGTCATACAATGAGTGACCTTACGTGGCTGGATGTATTTCTGGGGTTTCTATTCACCTGTTACTTTCCTAATATTCTCTAGTACCATATACTCCTAATTATTACATATTTAAAAGAAAAAAAATCCCCCATTGTTTCTGCTCTCAAGCGAATTTTTCTTTGTAAAACTGCTGAACTCACAGTTTTGCTTTGTTTTCTATTCTAAAGAACAATGTACGCTATATAACAGTTTCTATCCCTAGACAAGCTTCCTGTCATCTTTTCATCGTGTTTCATTGAGTCCACCCTAATTCTGAATGAAGCATGGTCCATGAAAATGGTCTATATGAAGGCAAAGGAGGAAGAAGAAAAGCAGTATTAATGCAGAAAAATGGCCATCAGGATAGCTCAGAGGGTAAAGGTTCCTGCCACCAACTCTGATGACCTGAGTTCAACTTCAGGGATCCACAAGGTAAAAAGAGAAAACCTTCTGCAGGGTATCCTATAACTCCATGTATCTGCCATAGCATATACCCCTCACCCAATAAGAAAGAAATGAAAAACAAAAGCCAAACAAACCAACCAAGGCAGTGGCTGCAACACTGTCAAAGTGAGAATTTTCCTTAGGATGTGGTCTGATGGTGAGTCAGGGTTAACTGATGGCACATAGGAAAAGCCGAGGTTATTTTTTTCTGGGACAAATACTGTGTATTTCTGTGCAGTATACAGTCATACATGTGTGTTTACATTCCTCAGGATCTTAGAATACCTAAGCTAGAACTTAGGCCCAAACAACATGAGTTAGTTCAGTGTACCAGTTGACTTCTCAGAGAACACTCTGGAAGAGGACAGGGGCACGCTACCTGGAAGTGGGGCTCCTTGAGTATACCAACCAGTTCCGCTACGTTTTCATCCACACTTATTAGAGGAGTGATATCTTCAAGAATTTCGTTCACTAATTCCAAGTTATTGTCACTGACAGCTTCTAATTTTGAATCTTCAAGCCTCTCATGAGCCTGAAAAAACAATAGTGAATTAAAGTAATATTGTTGGTATTTTGTTCTAGACAATATTTCACTGGTTTATTTTAGAAGATACTCCTTAGCGGGTGGGTGAGGTAAAGGTACTGGCTGCCAAGCCTGAGAACTGACTCCTGAAAGGTATCCTCTGACCTCCACACACGCACCATGGCATGTACGTGTATACACTTGCACAAGCATAAAAAAAAAAAAAAAAAGGTTAGAGGTCTAATTTACTGAAGCCACATTTAATGTTTTAATCACAGGTAATAAATGATTTTATAAATATAACATAAATACAATGACTTTCATCTTTGTTCCTACCATAAACATTGTGAAATGCTCATTTTATAATTACTGCTTAAGAAAACTGACTAGGCCAGATGATGCATGGAGATCATGTGATATCCTCTCCTCTCCAACTAGACGTCTAGCAGAGGCTTGAATTCTGGATGCTGTCACGTCTTATTAAAGCAAATGACTAAGTATAAAAAAATAAAACGTAACCATTATGCATGTCAATTTTTTAAATGATTTTTAAAAAGAAATGAGTTAGGTATAGTGGTATATTTCTGTAATCCCAGTCCTGAGGAATCTGAGAGGGCAGGCTGAGGCCAGTGCCTAGGTTACAAAGAGATTCCCTCTAGAAAACAAAATCCAGACATACACATGGACATGCACACACCAAACAAAAACAACAACAACAAAACATCATTTGGAACTCCAAAACCCTGAAGCTATTGTTTGAAAATCTAGGATAAAGATACAGCTCTCTGTGGTGATGCCTTTTCTTAGTGCATATTGGGTTCAATACCTAGCAATGAAAAATTAAATACAACATCAACTTAAAGGAAGTAGTCTGAGATCTCATACCTTGATCAGGAGGATAATCCCCTCCATATAAGCAAAATACACCACCACCAACACCACAAACCACAGTCTTTTCTTTCCATGCTGTCCACACTATTTTGGAGTAAAACAGGATTCTAAATTCAAACTGAGGAGCACTACACAGGCTCCACCTTTTAGGGTTTTTTTTGGACAAATGGTTGCTCATTACTAAAGACAAGGGAAGGTTAACTACTAGGGTTTAATTCATAAGACCATATAAGACAATAGATCTTACACTAATATTTTATACTTCATTTTTATAGTAAGTGCTGAACAGAAATCCCTGTTTCCAGTGTTATATTGTTGTGATGTTTTTCATGTTGTGTGTAAACCAAGCACAGTAGATCCTTAAGAATACAAATATAACATTTGTAATTTAAAAATGATCATTTTGTTTACATAAACTTTTTTTCAAGGTGATTTATCATAGTGACTTTTTTCATAAAAGACTAATTAAATTCCCTTTTCCCCAAAGAATTTCTATGTTGCCAAGACTAACTTTGAACTCTGGGCTCAAGGAATCTTTCTGTCTCAGGAGCCTGAGTAGTTGGGACACAGGTGTGAGTCATCATACCCAGCAAGTAAGTTCTTAATTGGAAGAGATTTTTAAGACTTCAGAAGAAAACATTTTAAAAGTTATGAAACAGACTGATAAAGGAGCAGATTTGATTAAGTATAAGGAGTAAGGTCAAAAGACCTAATGTGATTTAAATAGAAAATTCTATTTGATTTGGGTAAGAAAAAAATTACAAAGACTAGAAAATGCAACAAAGAGTACGAAGTTTTCTGAAGGTGTAAGACATCTGCTGACTGCTGGTTTAAGAAGCATGCTCTCCGGGACGAGTGCGCCATTTGTCCTATCACATCCCTTCCACTGCTTCAGAACCCCACTTTCATGTTTGTGTTCTTAGGAAGAGCTGTAAAGATCTGTGTTTTTCTAGAGAGAAGATGACTGGTTCACTGCTTTCAGGTACCATGTCAACAGGCTTTACATGTTCACCTGTGCTAGTCACATGGTTAACATATGAAAGGCTGTGTGTAGGCTGCTTCAATTCAGGCCTTCAAGCCAGAAATAACTGACGACTAGAATATTCATAACACACCTCCCTTCCATTTATTACAAATTAGGTGACACTAAGTGGAAACATGATAAAAGCTAAAGGCAGACAAGGGAGTATCTTTGGTGAGGGTGGAATTCAAAGGCAACCCAAACACACCGAAAAGTTCCTTCATATCATAGATTGCTTTTATGAAAATGAAGACTCTCAATATAAAATACAGAATATTTTAAGGAAGTGTTTTAATAAAATTAAGGCTACAGCAATTTTAATACAAAGAAACAATTTCTAGAATATATTCAAGATTAGTTTCACAGCCAGGCATGGAGGCACATGCCTGTAATCAAAACACTTGAGAGGCGAACAGAGAGGAACAGGAGTCCAAGGCTATTCTTAGCTATAGAGTGAATCTGAAATGAGCCAGGGACATGAGATTCCATTAAAAAAATTTTTTAAAAAATCAATTTCACTTTTTTTCTAGAACAGAAATACAGGCCCACAGTTACAATATACAGCTAAAGCTCCGAAGCACTGTGAAAAAAATTTGAGACCTCTAATTTACTTTAACATCAAAACATATTTAATAATTTTTAGGAGGTAAGTACCCACTTGAACTTAATTCATCAGACTAACAGGGTCACAAGGAAACCTTAACAACTAGTTAAAGGTTAGGGTTAGGTCACTGTGGAGCACAAACCCAATGATCCTTTGTGAGTTTGAGGCCAGCCTGGACCTCACAGCAAATTCCATGTAAACAGCAAAGGCCATGTAGTTTATAGACTCTGTATTTAAAACAAAACAAAACAAAACAAAATTAAATAAGTCACCTGTTTGATTAAGTGAGTCTTTTCCTTTAAGAAAAGGCAGTGTTAGAAAGCCAGGATAACTCAGTAAAAATGTCTTTCACCCGTCACAAGTAGGGAAGAACACTCCATGGCTGATGCTGTAGAGGTCTGGGTCTGATACAAATATGGCCTAGCCTTCGTCTGTGTCCAGTTCTGAGATTCCTACTAACCATGTACCTGGGAGAATGAGCTGAGAATTTCTTCTAGAATGTCTGGCTATTTTACTCAAGTACTGTTCTTGCATACTTGCAGACAGAAAAGAAAAATTAAATAACCAATGTAGTTACTACAAATCTTAGCATTAGTAAGGTAGCAGTGTTACTGTGATCTTGCTTTGGCTCTTAGCAAAATTCATACATAAACTTTGATTCTGTCCTACAACAGGGCTAAGTATGTAGCCATTCCTTATTAAATATTTTGTGGAAAATGTACATAAATGGGAAATAAAGTTAGCTGGGGTAAAATTTAACTTTCTTTTATCTAATGATCTAAAATCCCAAATACCAGACAACTCTACAAAGATCCCAGAATAACTTGAATGAGAGTGGAAACGAGGCAAGAACATAGAGCAGCATTGCCAGCATGCTGTGTGTGTGTGACATCAAACAAGAAGAGCTTGGATCCCAACAAAAGAGGACTGTATTAGCTAGACTGGAACACTCTTAGGAGAAAAAGACTTTTCAGAAATCATATTACTATCCAAATGGAGTTCAAAGTTTTATCACAGAGCATCTCACTACCGCTGCTAAGACAGCTGCAGAGTTTGGGCCACACAGATGCCAGGAACCACAAAAGGGTATTTCCCATTTTTTTCTTCTTAAGAGAAGCAAGAGTGCACTTAAAAGTTTGGCTGTAATAGTAGTCAGGAAAACATGTAAGTATCTTTTTATATTAGGATTGGAAATAAGTTTCAACATATAATACAAAATCAAGGAGCTGTAAGTCACACATGAAGATGTCTAATTTATATAACTATGTAAACATTTAGGCATTTCTCATTAAGAATCAGTAACGTCAAGACACAAAAACTAGAGTCTAGACATGTGTCACAAGGCCTTCTACAAACCAATTGACCAACTAATTAATAATACGAACAAAAAATTCACAAGAAAGAAAATTAAAGCATCTAAACAAATGAAAAGATACATAATTACATGTATAAGATAAGCACAAATTAAAGTATACAAAAATATTCATTTTCTTCTCATTAAACTGTCATTCCTGGTAGCAGACCAAGTTAGTGAGAACATAGGAAAAAGGCATTCTCACACATTTTTCTAATGAGAACAAATATGAGCAATTTAATCAAATCCTACAAAATTAAGAGATTCTTCTAAGAATCTGTCGTAAAGATATATAAATATGTACAAAATGAGACATAGCAGGGTTAGACAGAAATAGCATTAATTTATAACACAAAGGCCATACAAAAATCTTCCAAAAGCCTGACCTGGAAAAATCCTATGGTATATTCATGCACAGAAACATGACATTAACTTTACTCAGAAAATAGGTGTCTTGAGGTTGTAATAGAGAATCATACACAGCACAGGCTCACATTGCCCTTATGTATGCTAGTGAGACTTGCTGCTTCCCACTAAGACCCAGCAGCAAATGGCAGCACTCTTCTTTTCAGTATGTGTGCTGGGGTGCTTTAGTCAGGGCAGTAAGGCAAGGACTACAACATGTTCAGCAGAACAGAAAAAAAAAAAAAAAAAAAAGCCAAAGCTGTTTTTATTCACATATGACATGGCCTCATATTTAGAAAACCCAAGGGGTACAGTAGAAACTATCAGAACTAACAAGTTTAACAAGGTTGCAGAACAGAGCAACTTTTCCATATGCTAGAAAGGAAATCTGAAAATGAAGTTTTAAAAAAATAGCAACAAAAATAAAACATTTGAGTAAGTTTCAAAAAACAAATGGAAAACTTATAAACCTATAAAATACTATAAAAAGAAGCTAAAAGATTCAAATAAATGTAAATCAGAGTACAAGTTTTAACATTGTTAAACGGTGTATTAGTGAAGGTTATTATTGCTGTGATTAAACCCCAAAACTAAAAACAACCTGGGGTGGAAAGAAATTGTTTTGTCTACATACTCTGAGTCCTGGTCCTTTGAGAGAAACCAAGGCAGAAACTCACCAGGGCAGGAACTGGAGATAGAAGCTGACACAGAGGCCACGGAGGGGGCTGCTTATT